GCAGCTATGGTCAGCTGGTTTTAATTTAGAGTTGGAGCATCAACAGCAGAGCTGTCTGGCATTGATGGGGAAGAGTGTAGAGCCCAGGAGATATAGCGCAGTTTCAGTACATAAAAATTTGGCCAGAATTTGTCTACATGATGGAAAAAAATTGTACAGGGATCAATGCAGGGAGCAGTGCATGTGGCACAAAAGTAATAACGATGATATATCTTTGCTAATCAAGCAATTAAAAAAAACACATTTTGGGGCTGATTTATTATGGATGATGAATTAACATAAGAACCAGATTTAAGAGAAACATTGCCTCATTAAATTATTAAATTAAATAATCAGTTTTATTACTTTGCAATTATTCAGGGCTGATTTTGTTTTTTGTTAATTTATTATGCTCTTTTGTGTATGCAAAGTTTGATCTTCCTCTATCTAACTTTCAATATTAAATGTGTTACACTGAATCATAACAAAGGAATTATAACAAATGCAATATATATATATATATATATATATATATATATATATATATATATATATATATATATATATATATATATATATATATATATATATATATATTATATATATATAAAACACCCAGCACGCCACTGCGGGCGGTTTATCCTTCAAGCTCGGGTCCTCTAGATCTGCTGGAGCCACTCTCCTAGCTTGGGAGTCACCGCACCTAGTGCTCCGATTACCACGGGGACCACTGTTACCTTCACCCTCCACATCCTCTCGAGCTCTTCTCTGAGCCCTTGGTATTTCTCCAGCTTCTCGTGTTCCTTCTTCCTGATATTGCTGTCATTCGGAACCGCTACATCGATCACTACGGCCGTCTTCTTCTGTTTGTCTACCACCACTATATCCGGTTGGTTAGCCACCACCATTTTGTCTGTCTGTATCTGGAAGTCCCACAGGATCTTAGCTCGGTCATTCTCCACCACCCTTGGGGGCATCTCCCATTTTGACCTCGGGACTTCCAGGTTATACTCGGCACAGATGTTCCTGTACACTATGCCGGCCACTTGGTTATGGCGTTCCATGTATGCCTTGCCTGCTAGCATCTTGCACCCTGCTGTTATGTGCTGGATTGTCTCTGGGGCATCTTTACACAGCCTGCACCTGGGGTCTTGCCTGGTGTGATAGACCCCAGCCTCTATGGATCTTGTGCTCAGAGCTTGTTCTTGTGCTGCCATGATTAGTGCCTCTGTGCTGTCTTTCAGTCCAGCTTTGTCCAGCCACTGGTAGGATTTCTGGATATCAGCCACCTCCTCTATCTGCCGGTGGTACATACCATGCAGGGGCCTGTCCTTCCATGATGGTTCCTCGTCTCCCTCCTCTTTCTTGGGTTTCTGCTGCCTGAGGTATTCACTGAGCACTCGGTCAGTTGGGGCCATCTTCCCAATGTATTCTTGGATGTTCGTTGTCTCATCCTGGACTGTGGTGCTGACACTCACCAGTCCCCGGCCCCCTTCCTTCCGCTTAGCGTACAGCCCCAGGGTGCTGGACTTGGGGTGAAATCCTCCATGCATGGTAAGGAGCTTTCTTGTCTTTATGTCAGTGGCTTCTATCTCCTCCTTTGGCCAGCCTATTACCCCAGCAGGGTACCCGATCACGGGCAGGGCATAGGTGTTGATGGCCCGGATCTTGTTCTTACCATTCAGCTGACTCCTCAGGACTTGCCTGACCCTCTGCAGGTACTTGGTGGTTGCAGCCTTTCTAGCGGCCTCTTCATGGTTCCCATTTGCCTGCGGGATCCCCAGGTACTTGTAACTGTCCTCTATGTCTGCAATGTTGCCTTCTGGTAGTTCAGTCCCCTCAGTTCTGACTACCTTCCCTCTCTTTGTTACCATTCGACTACACTTCTCCAGTCCGAACGACATTCCAATGTCATTGCTGTATAGCCTGGTAGTGTGGATCAGTGAATCGATGTCTCGTTCACTCTTGGCATACAGCTTGATGTCATCCATGTACAGGAGGTGGCTGACAACTGCTCCATTCCGTAGTCGGTATCCGTAGCCAGTCTTGTTAATGATCTCACTGAGGGGGTTCAGGCCTATGCAGAACAGCAGTGGGGACAGAGCATCTCCTTGGTAGATCCCGCACTTGATGGTGACTTGTGCTATGGGGAGCTATGGGGGAAACACCAAGACGTTCTCAAGCCAGCCAAGAGATATAATCTCTCCATGATGTCCTAGGTCTGCCCTGGGGCCTCCGCCCAATGGGACATGCCCGAAACACCTCACACAGGAAACGCTCAGAAGGCATGCTGGAACCACCTCAAGTAGTTCGATGTGGAGGAGCAGTGGCTGTACTCTGAGCCCCTCCCTTAGAAGTCCCCTCCCGAACTTCTCAACCTATCTAAGGGAGAGGCCAGCCACCGTTTTGAGGTAGCCCATTTCCACTGCTTGTGTCCGGGATCTCGTTCTTTCAGTCACTACCCACAGCTCATGACCATAGGTGAGGGTAAGGATGCAGATTGTGTGGTAAATCAATGATAAACTTTGCTTTTACACTCAGCTCTCTCTTCACCTCAATGGACCAGTACAGCTCCCGCATCATCAATCCATCTGTTGATCTCCCGCTTCTTTCTCCCATCACTTGTGGACAAGACCTCAAGATACTTAAACTTCACCACTCCACCACCTCTCCAGGTGCTGAATCTCATTCCCACCACTTCACAGTCAGCTGCGAACCGTTCCAGTGCGAGCTGGAGGCCATCACCCGATGAAGCTACAGAACCACATCATCTGCAAAAAGCAGAGATGAGATTCTAAGACCACCCAACTGAAAGCCTTCCGCCACTTGGCTACGCCTAGAAATTCTGTCCATTAAAATTACAAACAGAATCGGTGACAAAGGGCAGCCCTCACTGAGTCCATCATCCACCGAACCCACGGAACAAATCCATTAAATTGCCGGCTATGTGGACCAAGCTCTTTCAACGGTTGTATAATGAGCGAATGGCCCGTAGCAATGGGCCAGACACCCCGTACTCCCAAAGCACCTCCCACAGTACACTCTGAGGGACACGATCAAATGCCTTCTCCAAGTCCACAAAACACATGTAGACTGGTTGGGCAAACTCCCATGCACCTTCAAGTATCATTGAGAGGATAAAGAGCTGGTCCAGTGTTCCACGGCCTGGACGAAAACCGCATTGTTCCTACTGTATCCGAGGTTCAATTAACAGAGAGACTCTCCTTTCCAGCATCCTGGCATAGACTTTCCCAGGGAGGCTTAGGAGTGTGATGTCCCTATAGTTGGAACACACCCTCCGGTCACCCTTCTTAAAGATGGGAACCACCACCCTGCTCTGCCAAGCCAGGGGTACTGCCCCTGATCTCCATCCAACATTGTAGAGGCTTGTGAACCAAGGCAGCCCTACGACATCCAGAGGCTTCAGAAACTCACCCCAGGGGCTCTGCCACCAAGGAGTTGTTTAACTGCCTCAGTGACCTCGCCCCCAGAGATAGGCGAGTCGTCCCCTCGTCCCCAGACTCTGCTTCCTCCACGGAAGACGTGGGAGTTGGATTAAGGAGTTTCTCAAAGTATTCTTCCACTGCCTAACAATGTTCCCAGTCGAAGTCACAGCGCTCTACTCCACACAGTGCAGGTAGAACATTGTTTTCCCCTCCTGAGTCCTCTGACAGTTTTCCAGAATCTCTTTGAGGCAGTCTGAAAGTCTTTTTCCATGGCCTATCCGAACCTCTTCCACACTCGAGTTTTTGCTTCAGCCACTGCCCGATCTGTGTTCTGCTTGGCCTTGGGTTACCACCATGACAGGCACGAGCCACCTTGTGGACGCAGTGGCTTCAGCAATAGAGGTGACTCAGTGTCCCAAGTCTCCCCCGGAATGCTGTTGAAACTCTTCCCGAGGTGTGCGTTGAAGATCTTGCGGACCGGGGCCACTGCCAGGCTTTCCAAGCACACCCTCACTATAAGTTTAGGTGGGCCAGGTCTGTTATATAATAATAATAATAATAATAATAATAATAATAATAATAATAATAATGTGTCTCTGTTATTATCATAAGTAATTATCCTCATAATAACAATATTCAGTATTTTTCCATGTCTGTGAATGAAAGAAGAGAACAAAAAACATGCTGAAAACACAGAGTAAGCTGCAATTTGTTTTATCAGGGCCTTGTGATGTTAAGCAACCATTCCTTGTGCAAACTTTAACTTTTCAGAGGCAAGTTGCCACCAGTCATTTAAATGATATTACTAAAGAGCTACACCATGGACAGAAGCTTCTTGCGTAATGGTGATTCTCAGAAGCAAAAGTAAACCAGGAAAACATGAGGTCAATCAGTGCATGTGCTACAGTTAAGACACTCCTTGGTTGAAATCCAAAAGTGAAATTGGTCCAAAATTTTGCTTTCAAAATATTTTGAATAATTTAGTCAGATAAAGATCGTAAGATATGACAGCAAAGTCATCACAGCTCAACAGGTAGCTGCCAGGGCTATTGTCAGATTTGCAGATGAAGCATGCTTGATACTACAATTCTTGAAGCTGTTACCTGTACATTAGTAGACACAATCAGGACTAAGTACACAATAATAACTGTGTAAAACTTTTTTTTTGTTTCTTTTTAACCTGCATGTTATACTCATATTAACATATTAAAAATATACTGTAAGTGATAATACTTTGGATAATGTAATAATATACATGAGATATAATTGTGAACATTTCTTATTTAAACCATTTAAAAAATAGTAAAAACGTTATTCAGTTTTACATTTGATTTCAGGTCTATGGACTCTTATGAAAATTAAACTTAGGTTTATAGACATCTGTCTGAGGAAGTGATAGCTCATCTGATTTAGTGTCAATACTCTTGAAAACCTTTTGATTGCTTTATGCTTTTTTGGGGGGTTTTTCACCAGCACTTTACTTTCAGTATATTCATATACACGATGTAGCTCTACAGACAGAATAGCCATGTTAGATAATGGAAAAGTAGATGAAAGGAATTTCTTTAGTCATAATCTGCATTGTATTCACACATTTATTGGTCACTTGTTTGTAAGGTACAAACATAGGATTGTAAAGTCTGATTGTGTATAGACATACACGAGTCAAGTTCCCGATCAAAAGTATGAAACATCTGTCGATCTATCGCCGTCATGATAGAAAAAACCCCATCGTGGCATTTTAAAATGATCATGCCATAATTTACAGAGGTACAGTAGAAGATCTACCGGTAGCAAAACACTATTTAAAACAGAGCACCATATGACAAATAACAACAAACCAAAAGAATACAAAACTCTTTTGTACTAATCTGTTTGCAAAGTGATATCGAAAAAACAAACAAACAACAATTCTCGTACAATATACCTCACCTTTCACCCTATTTTGCCCCCATATTAAAAATCACTATTCCTTACACACCAAAATTAGGGAAATAAAGAGTTCAATCGTATGGCTATTACACGAACTGTGCCTCAGATGGAATAACAAACAAACTTAATGGTTCTTTGGATTAAGAAATGGCTAAATTAATTTAATCTCAATCTGCGGTTTTTCAATCCACCACTGCTCGACCAGGAGCGCTGGAGATGCATACAATCCTTGTGGTGAGCCCTAAGCATTTATCTTTCTGCAAGATTCACTCCCTTGGCTTATGGTGACGCCTGACCAGCCTTGCCCGCCTCTTCATTCCAGCTGAAAAAGACGAAGCAGAGCGAACAAAATGTATTAAGAAGATAAAGGCTGTGAATGCATCAGCAAGTAATTATACTGTTACCTGGAGCTTTCCTGGCAGCAGCAAATCTACCTCCTTCTGCGAATTTAAGAGATAATATGGTTAGTTTGTATATTAGAGATATACAGACAAGTATGTCACAAAATTAAAGTCAAAGCACTTACCTTTAATGATTCTGCTAATTCTCTCAGACTCCTCATCGATCAGACTTGGGTCTCCGTGGATTGTAGTGATCCTGGAAAAGTCTGGGCCTGAACGTTTGAAACAAAACCATTACATCTAAAATCCGAAATCATGTTCTGAGTCAAATCAGTTTTTAAAAAAGCTTCATGATTACTTTCCTACCTTGAGGTATCCACTTGCACTGAATATAGATTTATAATCATGATCATTTTAAGGAAATTAAACATTTGAAATAAACCTATTTGGTATAAAGTGTTTATGGGAGGACACATTACCCTCAATGATCTGAGGCTCGTTCGCCGTGGTGTGTCTGGCTCCACCTTCAGACCGGCAGCGGAGAAGGGTGTTGAAAGTCATTTAACGACTTAGCAACTGTACAAGTACTGACTGACAAATGGACAGACTGACAGGCACATACACCCCATAAAATACTGTACCTCCTCCGCCACCACCAACACAGAGTCAAGCACACATGGGTAAGCTTATGAACATACACAAATTGCACACAGACGCACAGTACCATTAGCCCAAGAAATAAGCTGCAAGACACCAGAAAAGCAGCTGAAAGATCACCTGCTATTGTACCCAAAAGACAATGGCCCAATGGTCTGATAATATAATAATATAATTTGCACACTGCACAATTCTCACACATACATGCCACAACATAGAGGATGTGCAACCTCCCCTAAGAAACAACAACATCTATACTAGGATGGAATTGGATGTCTATCCAGCAGATGGATTGCAAAAATGAACCTATGTTCCTTGCATGCTTGCCAAAGATTGTCATCATATTCTGTGCAATCCCATGAACCAGGCTGTTAAACAGGGCTTTCCGAGCACAAACAAACACAAAAACAATAAAGAGCAGTTTGATGTATCCAGTCCGAAATGAGGACTAATTCATTTTTGTGTAAATCTTGCTCCAGTCAACACTTGTCCGTCTTTTGGGTACCTCAGTCATGAGCCTTACTGCTGAGTTAATTGCTAACTCCTCTCTCCTTTAGTGTTTTGCTTGTATGTTTTATCTCTAATTCCAAACTCAAATTATGATCCAGCCATCTAAACCGTCATCAAACAACACCTCCCTGTCTGTTTAGTTTGTTGATTATGTTGATTAGTCTGTTGAAGGATCACATTTCCTTCCACCACTACAAGACACTTTGAAAGTGTCTTGTAGAACCTTGCAGCCCAGTTCCTGTGATCTCTGTCAGGATTTGAGTCTGCCATTGTTCACCCCGTCGAACACAGCAGTCGTGGATGCTTTCACAAATCTGAGAAACTGAGATGACAGGTTCAAGCAGCAATGGCGGCTTTGACTGCCACTTAGCCAGCCAGAGAAGGACTGGATGTAAACGATCCACATCCCTGGTTTCATTCTACCGGCAGTCAAAATCCAAACTTCAGGCCTTACAATAAAAAAAAAAAAATGTTGAAGACCATGGCTGAACAACTGTGCTCAAAAGAGCCAAGTCAATGCATGTGCTTTACAATCCCTTCTCTCTTCTTCTGGTCATCATTATTCTTAAGAAATGCAGTATACACCATAGAGGAAGAGAGAGTAGTTACTGAAGATGAGGCATTCACAAAAGGATCAACTCAAGACAAAGAATGGTGCAAACAGTATCTGACTTAGTAGCTGATCACCACACAAAAATGTGATTAAAGGTGAAATTAAATCTGCATTAAAAGAGAGTGACACACAGTGGCTAATATCATCATGCAGATCTGTTAGAAGGTGCATGAACGCTCTAAGATTAATGCTACTACAGTCTTCAAATCAGTAAACATGCAAAGGAAACTCACCTGTGCTGCCATCTCCACCAACACTAGCACCTGTGATTCAAGGCAACATCATCAAATCTGTTCCAAAAACTTTGTTAGCTTCAAATTTGATCATCTATGATGGAAAATGAATGATATAAGCATTTTTTATGAAAATTACCATCAATAACTCTTGTAACTTTAGTAATAGAAGGCTGTCCCTCAATGACCCTGGTGACTTTGGTCTGTGTAGGGTTTCCTTCAATGACCCTGGTGACTTTGGTCTGTGTAGGGTTCCCTTCAATGACCCTGGTGACTTTGGTCTGTGTAGGGTTCCCTTCAATGACCCTGGTGACTTTGGTCTGTGTAGGGTTTCCTTCAATGACCCTGGTGACTTTGGTCTGTGTAGGGTTTCCTTCAATGACCCTGGTGACTTTGGTCTGTGTAGGGTTCCCTTTGATGACCCTGGTGACTTTGGAAGCTGCAGAGTCCCGTTCTATGACTCTGGTGACTTCGGTAAGTGTAGGGTCCCCTTTGATGATCTTGGTAGTAATTGAAAAGTTCGTTTTGATGTCTTTGAGAAGTGAAGGGTCCCCTTCGATAACTCTTTTTACGGTAGTGATAGATGGTTCCACTGAAATAACCCGGGTAACATTGCGGATCACTGTTGACTCAGGAACTGTAGAGAGGGAAAGGTAATTTCAGCATCGGTCAAGAATGTAGGGAATAAGGGTGTAACTTCCTCAAATTCTTTATTATGGAGGAGTCTGAAGGCACATTATGTGTAGTTTTCCAAGCAGATAAGAACATGCATTCAAACCAAGAAGATGGCATGAGCATGGTAAGTGATTGCAGCACTGAAAAAAGGAGGCCTTAATCAGTCCTGCACTTACACACTTTGAGAAATAATCAGGACTGTATGAGAATTTTTCACTTTTTTCTTTAGTTGGTTTAGAGTCTTTCAGCTTTAAAAACTACTGGCTTAAATTATAATAAATGAGATGTGACATCTGACAAAATATCCCCATCTAACCCCAGAACCTTCCCCAAGAAACGTTTGCCAAAAATATCACTTTTTGTGTGTGTGTGTGTGTGTGTGTGTGTGTGTGTGTGTGTGTGTGTGTGTGTGTGTGTGTGTGTGTGTGTGTGTGTGAGAGAGACAGTATATGTACAAGAGCCAGCTGAAAGGTGAAAGATTTCCATTTTTATCAGAAGGCTGCTCTTTGGCCTGAGGTTGCTTGATAAGTGCCCTTTTTAGTAATCAGAGCCAAGATCATGTCCAGTAGAGGGTTTTGATACAGGCGACACGGGCGGTTGCCCGGAGCGGCATCGTTGTGGGGGGCGGCAAAAAAATAAATAAAAAAATTGCTCGTACTCATGCTGCCCCGACATCATGCCAGCGCATACTGGGGATGGCATAGGCACCGATCGGTTTTCTATTGCCCATTTGCTGGGAGTAAGGGCGCCCTCCGTTTGCTAGGTGCGCCTGCTGCTTGCGGCACAAGGAGGACAGGGCGGGGCGGTGGGGGGATTCTCTGGCTGGCTGGAGCAGCATCTAATAACCAGCTCGCAAAATAAAACGAAATAAAAACAAACCAACAAACATGAAAACACCAGACATTATGATACAGACTTATTATTTGCGCCGATGGTTTTTCGAAATTCTGTATACGAGACGTGAGTGCGAGAGCCCTCAGTGCGCCTGATAGTACAGTATATAGAGAGACGAGACGACGAGGCTCCAGTTACAGCAGTGCAAGTAAACAAACAATAAATATAAGAAGAGTAAGAAAAAAACTATACACTAGGGCTAAAGGGATCAATAACAATTTAAAATTTATATTTTATAGTTTGATGATTTAAAGTCTCACACACAACCCGTCGAAAGGGGAGGGAGACCTGCTGCTTCCAAATAGACCACATTTCATTCATAATGTTTTCAGTCCAAGCACATATGTATTCATGATTTGAATCCTGGGTTGTGCAAAATGGCAGAAATACACCCTAGACAAAGTGAACTAAGGTGTAGGTTTATTAGGTTATGTTGTGGTGATCCTCGGGTTGAGGGATGGGTGTTCATACTGCAGTGCAAAATTAAAACCAAGATGGACAAGAAAAGTTCAAAGCCATCAGGTGCTCAGTTTAGAAAAAAGAGAAAAGAAGAGGAGGAGAAACGAGCAAAAGATGCAGGTAAGCAGATGTGTCATTGGATAATGGCAGGTCATCCTGAAACAATCAGAATCAAAATACTTTATTAACCCCTAAGGAAATTATGTGGGTTACAGTTGCTCCAAGAAGAAATGGTAAAAATAGTAACAGTAACAGACTAAACTCCAAACAATACATTATATTACAGATTTTAATATTAATTAGTCATTGTCAATTGTTGATTTGTCCTGTTCTCATTGTATAATGAATTATGATGGCTGTATGGTAGCCGTTTGCATACTATGCATACTCTCTCTCTCTTCATGTGTGTGTGTGTGTGTGTGTGTGTGATTTTATAAATACTTCAAGAATGATAAAGTATTTAGCTTACGTAGCTTAGTATGAGGAATAGTTAGGATTCTCTACCCAGATGAGTAATCGCACATCAATTGTATAATCACTGTAAAGTTGTATTTTTAGATTTAGTTATTGTAGCCCTTAAATCTTATGAACATGGTTTCTTAAAAGATAAAAATGAAAATCCCCTTGAGATCTGAAAAACCCTTTGTTTTCTGAACCCACCCAGCAAAACAATGGCCTCTACATAAGTATTACCACAAAAGATCCAAGCAAAGACTGATTTTTCCTTCTTATATTCATTTGTTTGATTAAAAAACATACAAATATAACAACAAATAATATGTCTTAAGACCTACAATCCCTGTCTAATATACAAGTAAGAGTGTCCAGACTTTTAACTGGTACGTACTTACTTCTCTGAGAAACCTCCTATGAGACATGAATTATTAATGTCATTGCAAGACAGATTTCACTTTATGCATATTTGTATTGTTGAGCAAAGAATATGCATTTGTTTTAAAGGAATGTCTGTTATTTATGATCACTGCAGATTGTAAATCAAATAAGTGCAGACTCAAGTCCTTTGTGTAGTTAGGTCTTACCTTCAACAAAATGAGTAGTTGTTGTGATAGTCCTTTCTGAGAAAGTAATAAAATTAGTTTTAGGTTCCTGCTCAGGCAAAAATATCTAAACATAATACAGTGATAGTGATATTATGGGAACTTACTGATGAAGGTGAGCGGGATCTCAGTGTAAGAAAATCCAGAGACAAACTAAAAAACAAAAAGCATAACAGAATGAAAGCTTCAAAAGTCAACCAGTAAAACCTCTACACAAATACACAGACAGGGTTTCCCCTTCACTACCTTTATCTGAATGTACTTAATCAGCTTCCTCAGGAGGATCAGGAGGTCCTGACGGCCCACAGGAAGGTCTGTAAGTAATACACGTCACATTTAATATATATCAAACAAGCAGAATGCAACCAGGCATACAGGTGAACACACAGCACACGTTCTTACCCCCTGGATAAAGAACATTCTTCACAATATGGATCACACCGTTTGTTGCCATCAAGTCACTGTGTGGCACATCCACAGAGTTGACATGGATAGAGCTGTCTACCTGGTAAAACCAAACACAATTAAACGTTACCTTCACACAAATTTAAGAATATTTAAGTCATTTAAGAAGAATGCAGTGTGAGAGCTGGGAATTCCATTTATTAACGTTACTAATATCCTACAATTGTCCAACATGCAAAACTGAGGCAAATCACACTTTGAGCTGAGTTTGAAAAGTTTTTCTGCCCGTGGGCTGAATTTTAAACATTAATCTAAGAGTGATTTCATGAGTTTCATTAGCTGATACATCTGAAACTAACGCTCTATGACATTCCCAGAAGGATTTAGAAACTCGTTGCTGGCTTTTTTAATTAAAAAAAAAAAAAAAACTCTAAAAGATGACATACAGATTTAACTTGCAGGTTCTTGCCCTGGAAGGTTTTGAGCAGATTGGTAACTCCTCCCTCTAATCCTCCATTGATGAAGGTCCCATTACTGAAGTGGTACAGCAGGATGTTTCTCAGAACAGTTGGATCACCTGTCGGTGTCAATATGAAGGAATTATAATTCATACTTTGCACAATGTTAAACAATGGTTTTTTCTCATTTCTGCATCAAATAGTTCCCTATTAGATGAAGATACATTGACAGCATTGCTGGGTTTTTCAAAAGATAAGTGCATATGTGCTCACTGCAGTGGGGTACTCACTTTTGAGCAGAGCCATGTCTTCCTTGCTGAGGTCGACAAAGGCATCGTCCGTTGGTGCAAAGACGGTGTAAGAGCCTTCCTGCTTTAACAGATCATACAGACCTGCTGTTTCCATTAACGACAGGAATTTCCTACAGTCATTCAAATAACAGAAAGAAAAGAAGAAAATCAGGGATGCAGGAATAAAATAGGCACAACGTTTAAGAGCAATGTACAGTTTAAGTGTTTACAATAATTGGTTAGTGGAAATCAGGTGATTTTAATGGTCCACTGGAAGTATATTTTCACCACAGCCTTAGTGTTGTGGTTCAGACAGAAAGAAATTTATATTCTATATTTGTGTATTTCCACAAGCAAAATGGTTCTAACTGCAATAACACAATGAATATCAGAACAGATAAAAAAAGGTTTCCCTTTTAAGCCGGGAGGATTATAGTGTTAGCAGGGAAGTTCAGGCAGAGGGTTTGAATGAGATTTGCATTCTCGTGTGGTCCCACTGAGTCACAGATTTGTTTTCCTCAGTTCTTCATCACCAACCTTTACTGGTGCCTTTAATTACACAGTGAGAAATGTTCTGCTGAAAGTGAATCATCAACAGCATCAGAAAAAGATGTTTTATTACGCACACAAGCAATGTGCGATCACTGTTTCCATCCCCACTACTGGAGATAAAAATCTCACTTGACTCAAAGAGAAATCATTTTCAGCAACAAGTATTTTAGAATGATACTTTGCTCTTACTTGAAACGTCCGTCAGCAATCAGGAGCTCATAGATAGTTTTCTCAGGTGGTTTGATAAGAGACCTCACAGAATGGAGCATCCCATTGCTCCCCTCCTTACTGCCACGGACCATACATGTGTTTTCTATGCACACAGCCTGTCAAAAAAGGAGCATTCATAAAGTTAAGCCACAGGTTTAAAATTCACTGTACAAATCTGGTAACTATTTGCTTGTGTGGAGGAGGGCTGTAAGCCTTTCTTTTTTTTTGATTGTCATCAATCACAATAAGACAATGTTTCTGTGGAAAAATTAAACCCAGCTGACTCTAATATGCTATCTAGTGGAGCAGAAACACACTTCATCTGCCAAAAGCTGGAGTAATTAGATGTTTACAGATTTTTAAAGACAGCAACAATATACCACACACTTGGTAAGGCTCACATAAATCAGACTAAGTTACTACTTTCTGTGGTTTCTCTCTTTTTCTTTCAGATTTCACTTGGTTAATGTAACAATACACACACACACACACACACACACACACACACACACACACACACACACACACACACACACACAGAATTCTCACAGTGCGGTAAATGAAGACTCGTAGCAGTTTTCCAGCGATTGTTTCCAGCGTCTGTTCGTTGTAAAGCTCACTCAGTTTCATTTTTGTCTTCAAGATGTGGTTTTCCAAAATGAGTCTCAGCGTGTTTGTGTCCATTGACATCACTTCACCTGACAGAGAGAAATGTCAGAGATTTAAATAAGATGGATAGTTTTAGATCCTGATCAAATAAGGCAAAATGCCTTGCAATTTAAAAGTGTGGCATACATTATAATATTTTTGGTTTGTAAAAGACAAAATATTATAACCACAAAAAAGTGCTACTTTTCTATAGATAAGAACATGTTTCAACTCACTAGTGAAGGCATTGTTGAAAGGAGCTAGGAGGGTGTACTCTGTCTTTGGACCCAGGGATTCAGCTAAGCCCAGTTCAGACAACTTGCTGCTGAAAGTGCTCTGGGAGGTTTCCAGTAACGATTTCACTTCCTTGGCTGACATGAACAATACAAAAAAGATATGCCTGTGACCCATTAAAAGGAAGACGCCAAACGATTTAAACAACTTCAAAATGTGTTTGTACCTGAGTCTGGGATCAGCATCTGGTCTATCAGGTGGATGACGCCATTGGTCGCTACAATGTCCTTCTTCAGGACCATCTTGATGCCGTTCACAGTCAGACTGTCACCGTCACAGCCAATCTCTATGCTGCTGCCTTCTGCAGTCTCATACATGAATCCTACCATGATTGCTTCTGCACACTGGACACTCTTTAACAGGTGGTAGTTCACCAGGGCTGAGAAGGTTGGTCAAAGTGTGAAAGAGGCTAAATTAATTACATTTAATTGAGTAATTAAATAAACATAAACACAAGTTGAACATAGGTTTGCAACTCAAATTACACACCTAAAGTATCTAATTATTATGTGAAGCCTGTGCTGTGATGTGTTATTCAGGAATTACAGGTATGCAGATGAATCAAACATCAATGTTCTCTGTGCTCATTATTCACATTTAGGCATGTATTTATGCCACAGCTGAGCCCGACTATCAAGCTAAGCCAACAAATTTAGCCTGCAAAAGCAATGCATTAGAAACAGAAGCAAAATTTGTATTGTATTTTATTCCAAGAAGAAACCTGTCACTGACTTCATGCCTGTATTCATGACTCAGCAAATAAGCAGATAAGCTGTTTTTTGTGTGGTTTTTGGATTTGTCAATTCAAAAACAAGTTCAAAGTTCAAAGTCCACTTCATATCAATTTGTCTGCGGGCCTACTATGAGCTGTGTGAAGCTGCCGCACACGCTCATAGTAGCTCATAGTAGCTCATAGTAGTAGTGGCCCTTTTTTTTAGCATATTTACCAGGCCACAGGAACAATGTGAAAATGTTATGGTTGTACTTTATGCTCTCATTAAGGCATCACATTTTTACTGTACCTTTAACAACAGCTGGGTCTTCCATGATATTCTCCAAGTAGTCTGGGTTCATTTTGTCAAAGGCGTCATTAGTTGGAGCAAACAAAGTGTATTGGCCAGGCTCACCCAGCTTGTCCATCACATTGGAAGCTAATGCGATAGCCTGGGGAACAAGACACGATGTAAACATTTTTCTAAGAATCAGATGCTATAATGAGTTGGATAAAAGTTACTGTTTGTTAATGGTGAACTGTACAACTGTAAACTTTTTTGAGAATAGTTTCATACACTAAAAGAAGAAAGGTCTTCATTGAGCTCCAAGTGATCCTTGATGGTGTTCCCCACGGCCTTGATTACCCGATCGATGACATGCACCACACCATTTGTGGCCAGCTGGTTAGCATTGAGAATCCTGACACAGTTCACTGTAACAACCTTAGGAAGTAAATATTTTATGAAGATCAAACAATCAATGGCTTAATTGACTCTTATAGATATAATTGTAATAATCATGCAGCATTGCGCTTGTCTACACCGTTCATAAACTGACCCCATTTGGGTAGTGGTTGAAGTGCAGTCCCTCTTCATTGTACATGGAACTGACAGTCATGCCATTCTTCATGTCTTTGGTGAGGATACGGTGGTTTACCATGTGGTAATGCAGAGCGTTGTAGAGTTCAATGTTCACATTGTTCTCTAGTGCAGATCGTTGAGCCTTTAAAAATCACAGTGTTAGTTTCATCAAAGTATAACTGTGTTTGAGCAGACATTATTGTAAATGCATTTCTCTCTAAGGTTTTAAACACAGGTTTACTCACAGGGTCCAGCTCATCCCAGGCATCATTGCTAGGTGCAAACAAGGTGAAGGCGCCTTTTCCCTCAATTTCTTTTCTCAGTTTAGAGACTTCAGCATATCGCTGTGTGGTTGTAGCCTTGACAAAGCCCAGTGTACCATACACATGGTCAATGGGAGCCACTGGTGGTAAGGTTGAGAGTTGTGAGAAACCAGAGGAAATATTCATATTGAATATATTGTAATTTTTAGTTGATTTTGAATGAATCTGTTGAGCCATCCACCTACCTGCAGTGCATCCTTTCGTACCCTCGAGTTTCATATAACCTGGACAGCATTCATATACAACCACCCTGCCAAAACATTAAAAGAGCAGTGAGTTATTCAATAAGTAGATAATCATTAAAAACATAGATTAATTTAATCCAGATATAAAATGTCAAAAATAAAAAATTTAATTGTTCAGGGTTGTGCATCTTTATCATATAAATTTCAAACAGAGCAAGAGTCTACATGACTCTAACACAAGGTGATGAACCGAAACAAAACTATACCATCTCAACAAACTAAAATAAATGAGTCATTGAAAAAAAAACCTGTGCAGCTGTGAGATAATGAGGAGCCCTGGGAATGAGGGCATTGAAAACAACAAATGAGGAAGTAACTCTTGACACTGGCTGACCTGAAAACCACATAGTAAACTTATGAAAAAGTTTGACATGAATTAAACATAAAAAAAACTGTCAAAAAACCAACAAGTTAAGCAGACTGAAAAGGAGAAAAAAACATTTACATGGTTTGTGTTTCCACAAGAAAAGTGACAAAGAGCTCAAAAAGTCCCAAGAGGAGGTTAATCGAGAAAAATTTGGTGACTGGGAAGATCTCTAGTAACTTTTTTTCTGTCTTAAAAAGAAGAAAGAAAAAAATTACAGGACCATGTGTAAGCACTATTATCAAAAAATAGACTGTTATCTGTTACATTTTTATGGACAACTCTAAGTTACTTAGTTTCCTCTCTTCTTTGTGGTACACTGCTGTCAGACGTCTCACTTGTCAAGTCGAATCCTGTAGTCTGTAAATTTTCCAGAAAACATTTTCACAGATTTTCATTCTTTAATTTCACTTCTAAAAAAAACAGACGGGTGTCTTCATTTAGATTTTAGGTGGAAATAAAGGCTTATCAAAACTTGTAAAAGCGTAACTCAAAGAAATGTGTCATGGACCTGGATCTGGTGACCCAGGGTTCATGAGTGTTTGTGGACTGTTTTTTTTTTATGGGTTTGTCTTGGGCTGTTTATGTGTGGTGCTTGTGTCCCTCTTTTCCTTCTTTGTGTGTGTTTGTGTGTATAGGCGTTTATATGTGTGTGTGTGTATCCGGATCACCGTCAGGCCTGGTGAGTGTGTCCCCGCCAGGCTGGCCACACCCGAGGAGGATGATGGCACACACCTGCTGCTGATCAGCCTCGTCTGGGGGAGCTACTTAGAAGAGTGGCTGAGCTTCCCGTGGATGCTGGATCGTTGCAAGACTTCCCGTCAGTTTCCCAGTAAGTCAGTCGAAAGGGTGAGTCTATCATAATTGTGGGCTTTCTAACGGCTGCCTCTGTGATTTCTACAAGAGGATTGCAAAGACAAGAGGGCAGCGAGCACGTTGTATGGAGGCACAAAGGGAGCAGAGACACAGAGCACGGACACTGGGGAACGCGCACGGGATTGACTGTCATGTTATTATTTACTGCACTGTAAATACACTCACTGTCTGCATCCAAGAGTCCCTTGTTTGGGTCCTACTTTCCCCGTTCCATGACAAAATGCAAGATAAGCACCAGATAAGCTGTGCTCATAACAGGAGCTCAGCTGGCACTCTTTTGCATTGGCATGAATGAAAGAATGAGGTGTGAGAAGGCTAATATAATGAGACACAGGACAGTACTGTAGCTCTAATGTGAGAAGTTTTACTGAGAGTAAACAAACCATAGATGGTTTGACAGCATTTGATTAGGATTAGTCCCCAGTTAACGAACATTTTCTAAGACAAACTAGGAAGTGAATAACCTGTACTGGGGTTTAATTTGAAACACTTCCTGAGTTTTCAGCTCCGGAAATTAGTTTCGACTTTTTCTTTGAGCTCATTACACTTTCATTACACTTTGCAGAACTTGAGGTTTTCCTGCCTTTTTCTCATGGAAAAATTGTATTTCCACATGTGCACATTAGTTTTTCATGATTTACAGTAAACCAGTCTATCAATAGTTTGCTTTCTATTCAGGAATCGCCAGTATTGATAAATTACGCCAAAGCAATACTTTTTTAAAAAATAGCTTACTGCAAGTACACCAACCTCAACCATAGCTTCTAACTGCATAAAATGTAACATAAAAATGTAATTCTTACAAACAAACAAGCAAGGAACACAACCACAGTCAGTATGCAAGTAGATTCAAGTCCCCTCAACTGAAAACCTTATTCACACACAATCACACATGTGCATGTACACACACACTTTCTACAAAGATTCAAGCTTGGCAAAGTTAATCCATTTAATTAGTATTTGTGTGTTTATAGATAAACGTCTCTGTGTGTGTTTGATTCTGCTGAATGTGTTGAATTAGTCATTTTGTGCAAAGAGGCATGTTGCTTATAGAGCAATCCCTCTTTGCCTTGACACTAATTTCGGTAATATAAAATACATAAATACCCCTCCACGACTGGCCGTCAGGAAGGTATGAAGTCACTGCTCCCCAGCTACGCTCTGACAGGATAATAGATTCAACAGAGACCTGAAACAGAATTAGCCAGTGCACTGTAGCCAAGCCCCTGGTTGCATCACAGCATGAAACAACTCAATGTGGCTTCCAGAGGAGCAGATGTGCAAATATGGGGCTTTGGTGCACGCATACACGCACGCACGCACGCACGCACGCACGCACACACACACACACACACACACACACACACACACACTGTACTCATACAAAGGCTTTAGGTGGGGTTTTCTGGCACCAGATAAAGACATTGGAGTGTTTTTTTAAATCCTCTGTAATCACTAATGAACAGTCTCTGTTCCATCCTCATCCGTCTGGTCTTAATATTGTGTAGAAGAGCTTTTTTTCTATAGATGGGTGTGGACTTCCTCTAAATACATCTTTAAGAATCTGACTTTTACAGTGGTTTGTTATAAAGTCCACTTAATTTTAATCACACATCCTGTGCTTCCTGCAAATAGTTTTCTTTAACAGAAAAACCGTTTCTTTCATCCAACAGCTCAATTCAAATGAAATCCTCAAAAGATCCTATGGTACCATTATATCAAGAGAAACATGAGCAATTCCCAAACTATGTTAGGTTAATAGTTAATACTTTTAGGTTGGTATAGTGATCTGAAACTACACATGCTTTTAACCCGCGGTGTAAGATCAAAGTTTAGTTTTGGAAATATGTTCAGGATGCTCAACAGCAACAAAACCATTTGAAAAAGATTAAACGTGAAAGTGTGTGACTGACCCACTAGCGCTGGAAAAGAACAAAACAACTAACCAAAGCAAAACAGGGTATCTCTCTGGGTGATCCAATCTATCACCAGTGGTGCACTGCAAAGTGAGACAGATGAGAGGAGAATATACTGAACACTTCCAGCTGTTTAGCAAAGTGCTTTCTGTGGGAAAAACGTACTTATCTTTGATGTAGATTTTGCTGTTTGTAACACTACAAACCTTTTGCATGAACTAACAAATTAAGTTATAAACCAGAAAAAAGTTAAATGCATTGAAATTTATTTTTTCGGCTAACAAAATCCTATTTTAGAAATTGTTTAATTTAAACATTTTAAATATGCCATATTCACATTACATAAAGATCTGACAAAAATAATTTGTAAATAGCCTAATGGGACTTGGTAGTGATGTAATGATGAGGCCAAGCAATTGTGTTTCTTATCTTAGAAACCCCTACTAGCTTCTCGTAATCTACTGTCACATGTTTTGACCAGTAATTCCTGGTTGTTTTCATGTCTACTGCTGTACTGTTTTGGGAGAAAATGACTCACCCCTGAGCTCACACCCCATTTTCAGCCTTATCGATACCGCAACAGGTGCTCCAGTTGACTGCATGACTGAAAACAGACGGGTGTATGTCTACATGTGTGTTCTTGTGTGTGCATGTGGGCTAACGACAGAGACTAAGTGTGTATGTTATTTTCTGCTGCTTCTGCACTTAAGTATACCAGAACAGCTCCAACTAAGCCTTACACTCCTTTAGGTGCGTTTCATGTAATATTTTATGAAATTATTTTGCAGGAAATAACCTAAATAAATAAATCCACCACAAGCACACTAAAGACGGGGCGATCGTGGCTCAAGAGTTGGGAGTTCGCCTTGTAATCAGAAGGTTGCCGGTTCGTGCCCCGGCTTGGGCAGTCTCGGTCGTTGTGTCCTTGGGCAAGACACTTCACCCGTTGCCTACTGGTGGTGGTCAGAGGGCCCGGTGGCGCCAGTGTCCGGCAGCCTCGCCTCTGTCAGTGCGCCCCAGGGTGGCTTCGGCTACAATGTAGCTTGCCGTGTGTGTGAATGGGTGGATGACTGCATATGTAAAGCGCTTTGGGGTCCTTAGGGACTAGTAAAGCGCTATATAAATACAGACCATTTAAAGTTTGGTTTCTTATTATTTTCATAAATGCACAAAGACATTACTGGTTTGAACCATGCAACTTCATTTTAAAGCCAAGGTTAAGAGGAGAAAGCGAGATGCTATAGGTTCAGATAAACTGAGGTACAAGTCTGAGGGTGCAGAAAGGGTTTGGTCAAACATATTGGGCTTCTGCTGATAGATGGGTGATGAAGCTGGGTGTGGTTTGCACTTTTGATCAGACCAGTCTAATTCAGTGCAAATAATGATAAAAAGATGCGCTAATTAGATCCATTCGGTCTTTCAGTAAACACTTACGTATTCTTGCCACAGATGCTGCGTTTGTACCAATTCCTGCATGTGCTGAAGTACTTCTTCTTGGTCCCTGTGACTTGCTGCAAAGCACACACATTGGGTCTGTAAGAGAGGAGAGGGAGGAGAGGGTGAGGTGGGAGTAACAAAAGAACGTAAGGAACAGGATCAGGAAGGTCAGGATATGGAACTGTACAAGCGTAGCAGGGGGAAGGAAGGCGACAAGGATAGACAAGTTGACGAAAAAGACCGTGAGAAGATGTGGGGAGGTGTGTATGTATGAAATGGAAAAGAATGCATGGCCGAAAAAAGCAATTTACACATGTCAATATGCAATATTTATGTTAATAAGACATTATATGGACAAAAGTACTGGGTCACCGGCAAATGACGAGTACAGGAGCTGCTCACTCATGGAAACTGATAAGCATGAAGCTCCTTGAGCACACTTTCTGTGCTGATGTTAATGTCAGAGGAGGTTTAGAGCTGTGCAGTCATCAGAGTTTTGGTAGCTTTTAAACACTAAGAGCTGCAGGACAGGAATCACATCAACTCTGCTACTTCATGGCTGAGTTGATGTGGTTCCTAATTGCTTCCACCTTACAAATATACCACTTACAGTTCATTGTGGTATTTCTAGGATGGAAGAAACTTCATGAGCTGACTTGTTGCAATACTGTTGTCTTAACACAGTACCATACTTGGATTCAGTGAGCTCTTAACAACAACGTTTCCCATTCACAAATGTTTGTAAGGACAGGCTGTGTGAGTAGCTGCTAGATTTTATACCCCAAACACGTGAATTTAAAGATAAAGGGGTGTGGTCCAGTACTTTTGTCCATACGGTGTATTACGCAAAACCAAAATTTGATGCATGTGCATTTTTTGTCTGCTTTGTGGGTTTTTTTTCAAGTTAGCAGACATTTATTTCAGCAAGTAATAATGGTGCTTTATTAATCAAGCAGACAAAGCACTAATGTACAGTATCTGCTACAGTAATGTGTGCCGCAAGTGTACTGTACTTACAGTAAGGTCAAAACCACCCAAGAAGCGGAACGAATTATTTGGATCATTTTGGCATCAGTCTTAATCCAAAATATGATTTTAAAGAAGAGTCATCTTATTCAATTTACATGTGAATTTTAAATTACATTAATTACATAATTAATAAATACACAATTAATAATATTTGGAATATTTCAATAAGAAATACACTAAAACTTTTTTAGAAAGGGTTATTTCTTACAGTATTTGGATTTCTCTGGACTTCAGTTGTTGATTTTTGCATGTTAAATATGTTGATGATCAAGCGGAATTTCCTATTTTTCATCAATATGACTGATCTGTTCATGAAACTGTAGTGCTCAGTAAGATTTAAAACCATATTAAAAATTGACGTAGTCTAACCTGTTTTATTGCCAGATCATACAATTTATGTTCTTGCACCTGCAAACAAGGTGATAGGAAAAATATTAAGTCTACCTACCCTTGATCCCTGGCCCGTATGCGGCTATGGGTGACTATCTTGTCATAAGCTGAAAAAGCTGTGGTCTCCAGACTGCAAAAGGCCACCAACACTAAGGTCACCACCAGAAGCCGATGCATCCTGTGAAGTTATCAGTCCTCAGTGCTGCAAGGGCTCAAACACACACTGCTCTTGTCTTTCAAGTGCACACATACACACACACACGCACACACAAGCAGGAGTCCACAGAAACACACGGGATATGTGGGAACACAAATGAGAGAGGGAGCTTTTATATGAACAAGCTTCTCTAACACACCCACTCCCTTTTTAGTTCTTCACTGTCTATTCCATACCATTATATCCTTCTCCCACCCGCATACACCCTTCTATTCAGTCGAAATCCTTCCTCCACCACTAACTCTCCTCCCTCATGTTCGTATGAATTTTGCATGAATTTGCAGACCACCGTCACATCCCAGAGCACCAAGGGCACCCTGTACTTCAAACTTTACGTTGCTGTACAAGCTGCAGTGCCCGCCTGTCTCCAAACTGTGAATTGTGTTTAAAGTATGCAAACCAGTGATGATTTGTTCATTGTATGTAAAATATTAGAGGATTCATTTTTTTCTGAGGCTAACACCCACAGAATTTGCACTGCAATCAAAAAAGATGCCAATAAAGATGCATAAAGAAAAGCAGATTTTAAGATACAGATCCAAACACTAGTTTGACAATAACACCTAAACACGGGCTCTAAGCATACCTCTGATCTCTCTTCATGAGACTTCTGGCAACAAAATGTAAATAAAATTGATATAAAATGCTATAAAATAGAGGTGTAAATCATGCATGAAGACCTACTGTGGTGAATCTGCACAGTCTGGTATTTTACTTGACACCCTTGAAGGAAACCTGACTGTATTTTTATCACACCTCCCCTGGGACCCCACTGTTCTCCCCTTTAACTTTTATCACATTGATTCATCGTTTCCATCAACGTCCCGTGAACTCCCTTTTGCGCTCCTCTTCTCCCATCATCCTCCCTGCTGTCATGTTCATCGTTATCAGCTCAACTTTTTCCCTTCAGCTGTCTCTGTCTCCCGCATTGAAGCCAGATCTGATACAGCTTCAAAGAATAAATTAATCATGAATACAGGCTTTCCGGACATCCTCATGTACAGTCTTGACTTTTCGACAGGTGTGCTTCACACTTTACACATGCAGGTCGAGACAACTCAGACAAGGCTGATTTATTGGACCAAGAGCCATTTCTTTCATTGCTGTTGTTTGAAAACAGATACGCCAAGAGTGCGTGTTTTATTCTTTTACAGTAAATATAGTAAAGTAAGAGAGGGGGTTAAGGTTAGGGGTTAGGGGGTTAGGGATTGGGATGAGAACTATGTTTTAAAAACAAAGGTTAAGACAGCTTTGCTCTGAAACTGCAAATATGTACTCGCTCTTATGAACTCACACAACCTCTGTCTTTCCATGAATGACAGATGAACAGTCTCCAAGAGTCTCCTGACTTTGGAAACATCTTTCTGTCTTTGAGTCCGCTGTTTTTGAAATTTTGCTGTAATTGTAATTGTATTTTAATATTAACAGGTTATCCTCTAAAATCGATAAATGAAGCTCATGTGTATCTATAGCAGTTCTTTATACAGTAAGTATAGTGCTTGGATTTGTCACTCTACCTTCTTCAGGAATCACAGCAGGAAATTTGTGCTATGTATGACGTCTCCCCCTACTGGGAATTATTTGTCAGTACAGTCATATGTAAGGACAGGGACTTACATAAAACCTTTCACAACGTCATACATTTTTATTAGTAAGTTTTGACTAGGTAGTAAATGTTAGACTTTGAGTGTTGAAGAGCGGGCCACAATTTCCAAGGAGCCAGCACAGCCTTTACTCTAATAAATCTAACAGAACCCTGAGTGTGCGAACATTTATAACCACTGGCAAGCTTTGCAGTTTGGTCCTTAGGTTGCTAGATCCTTGAACATATGGGTTTTTTTTTGTGGGTTAGGTAAATTGCTCCTATTATATATTTAGTTTTTTCTTATAATTAAATAAAATGGTCAAAATGTTTCTATTTATTAATTCTTTATCAATTATTTCCTTGAGAAAACAAATCACACTCAATTTTAAATGTAAAAGACTTTTCAGGTTATTTAGGTCATATTTAAAAGTCACATCAGTGCTCTTAACCACGAGTATGCTACTGTATAAGACTTCAGCAGTTAAAACACGTAATTGTGAGTCATTTAAATATGCAATGATAGGAGATATCTATTCATGTGTTTCTGTGTCTGTGACAGCTTGGTTCAATCAAGTTGGAAGATCTATCATAAGCGCAGGAGCATTTCAGTACAGCCTTTTGATCCCACATGGAGCAAAATTTCATCAGCTGCTGAATATTTCATTTCCTTTTCACTTGCTCGGTCACTTGTTCACTGAAATTAGAAATTAGAGGCCAAGCAGCACAAATAGGAAAGCAACAGAAAGTTCAGAGAAAACAAAAAATATCCAGTCTGTGGGGAAACATATGCGGCAGCTGATGAAATTTTAAATAATTTCATAGTTTTACAGAAATTGTAAAAGTTTTGAACTGTGTTTTTATGATGCAGACAGTGCATACTATAGTTACTGTTACATTGTGTAAAGCACAGGTTTTCTATTAATTACAGTGCTTAAACCCCATTTCTCCACTTTTTGTACAAGTGTATAATTACTGTAATACATGTTCACACTCATGATGTTCTTAGGAGCAGAAGAGATGTTAAAGTGGAGCAAAAATGTTGCCAAATTAGCCCTTGCAGTGTGTGGTTTTGGGAAACTGATTGTGAACTAATGGAAATGACATTTCACGACAACTGTTGCTGAGGCAAAAAGAGAAAAACATGAAAGGAGTTCTGTACAGTACTTTAGCTCACCTTATGTGACATCTGTTCCAGGAAGTCACGTGTTTTAACCACCAGTACATGACAATACAGCAGTAGTGTTTGGTCTGTTCACGCTGTTGACAGGGTGATAAACTTCATAAACTTAATCACATTAAGAATAACTACTATTACTACTACTACAGGCTTAGCTGGCAATGTACTGCCGAGGTGCTACCAGCTTTGAAAATTATTTCAGCGGAAATAAGCACAAAAACATCTTAGGTAGTGTTTCACTTGGAAACTTTAAGTAAGACTATAACTTAACAGTTTAGCACTTTAGTTTAACAATACCTAAAGTTGTCTTGTTTTTGTGTGTGCCAGGGAACCACTTCAAATTTGATATTGATATCACAACCAAATAAAAAGAGGCCCAGTAGCACTGATATCAATACTTTCAACTTCTTTGTTCTTCTGAGATGAATCATCACAAATTTGGAATTTCTGAAGACATTTTAATGGCCATTAAATCACTGTGATTTTTGTTTTCCAAAATAATGAGTTTACACAGCAAATCACCCTCTTTAGAGCTTTTCATGTATTTTGAAACTAGGTTGTTGTTTTTTTTTGAAGACCTGTAATGTAAATGTGTGTCTCTAATGCGCCCCTACGGGGTGACCGTGGCTCAGGGGGTTGGGAAGCGCATCTGTAACCGGAAGGTCGCCGGTTTGATCCCCGGGCTCTCTGTCCTGGTTGTTGTGTCCTTGGGCAAGACACTTTACCCTACTGGCAGATGGTGTAATATGGCAGCCTCGCTTCTGTCAGTCTGCCCCAGTGCAGCTGTGGCTACAACTGTAGCTTGCCTCCACCAGTGTGTGAATGTGAGAGTGAATGAATAGTGGCATTGTAAAGCGCTATGGATGTCTTGAAAAGCGCTATATAAATCCAATCCATTATTATTCTCTTAAGGTGCTTCTTCTGTAGTTCAAATGTGCTATAGCCTATAACACAGACGTGACAGCCAACACAAAAAGTAGTATACGTTTGAAGTATATTTTTTCATTTACAAAAAAACACACAATCAATTTAACAGAGTGGATTAGATACTGAACTTAGAGGATAGAAACAACATATCAATCCTATCATGCTAGTACTGATCCGATACAAATACCAGCATTGGTATTGATACTAATGATATTTGGATCAATGTGCTCACCCTTACAGAGAAAAGGCATGGTATTGCTAATACCAGTGATATCACAATAGTTTTATATGAATTTATACTAGTATTATCACTGATGGTATGACAAAGCACTACTTGAAACCCACCTCTACTCTGCAAACAGTATATGGTGAGCTGAAGGCCCACATCCATTTAAGGAACTGATTTTCAGATAGTGTTCATCTGAATGTAGATAGTAAGGAGATACATGATATGCCCATTTTTTGGCTACTAGCTCTTTGAAAGTCACAAAAATACTACTTCGTGGCTGCCAAACTATATTATCTTTGCCATTTGTCAAAAATACAGAAAATCCACAAAAAATGACAAAAATTATGTTTAAAAAAAATTAATTAAAAAAAAAAAAAAGCCAGGCTGCTAGTAACAAAGTAACAAAGCCTAAAGACACGCCTCAAGAGTAAAATAGACCATTTGGTGATGCTTGTCTGACTCCTTTAAATAGAAAGGTATTGTGTGACCCAATTAAAAAAAATATCAGTTTGCATAACAACTATTAACCATTTCATTATTTTTATACATATGCATTTGTTTCAGCATAACCTCATAATCTACTATGAAGATATACAGTTAACTTTTGACAGTATCAGTTACTGTGTTTATGCCTGTCTGGGATTTGCAATGAACAAAAGAGGAGACAGGAAATTAAGAGTGTATTTCTATATTTATTCTTGATTTATGTTTCAGTTTCTATAATGCCATTCATTCGAACTAACATGACATCTTAAACTAACAGTTAAAAACAGCAGATCTGTTCAAAATAATGAGTTTATTCTTGAGTGACAAAACTTGAATAATACGTTGCTTTAAATAATTTATCGGCTGTGTTCATAATGTCTATCTCAGATAGTTTGGCCACGCCCTACTTTACAGAAAATACTTGGGATGAACTGTCAGCGCTGAATTTACAGTCGGCCTAATCAGTGTGATGAGAATCATGATCCACAGTTCTTGCATAGAAAACTTTGACAGAATTGCTGTTGCAATGATCAGAGTTTGAGCGATCTTTGAAAAAACTGCATGCCATTTTAAAGTGTGTAAAGTGCAGAAACAGACAGAGTAAGGCAGAAAGTCACGTCTAAAACAGAACACATCTATTGCTCTAATAAGATACTGATGGGGAGAGTTAAATGTTCATGGGTAGAGGGGAAA